CACGTCCTCTTTCCTTCAGCCGCCCAAGTCATCAGCCCCAGCGTTCAGAATTGCACATGTGGTTAGTTGGTGAGTTTTCCCTTAGATTTTCCCTTGGACTTGTCCATCTAGGGGTCTCAACAGATGTAGCATGACAGGTGTCCACTATTAAAGCAGCACACAGCATAGCTTCACATCCCCTAAAATCCACTGTGTGAAACTGGCATGGGGGTGCCATGGGCTAAGTCGCTGTTTCTCACCCTGCCCCCACACCCTCCATATCAGAGCACTGGTTTGAGTTCAAGATGTTCTGCTTTGCTCCGACTCCCTGCTAAGGCTCTGGGACAAGCAGTGGAAGAACTGGGCCAAGAACTGGGCCTCTGCCACTGTAGGGGAAAACCTGGATGGAATGGTAGGCTCCTGCTATGTCCATGTAGGGAGTGAACCAGTAAGTGAAAGATCTCTCAGTCTCTTCCCTCTCTGTCACTGCCTTGCACATTACTAAATCCTTGAGAGGAAAAGCCCCTGTGCAGCGATGGACGTGTCGGGCCCTGTACTTGCTAGTACATACAAGAACCTGGTCTGGGAACACCTCAGACAAAGTTTCTTTGGGGATCTTTCCAATTGAACTGCCAGACTCGGAACCCTAACCAAGAAAAGACAGAAGACAGAACAGGTCAATCAACCACCTCAGCTATATGTTGGCAGTGAAATACTGGGTAAATGGAGACTCTAAGATGGACTGTGTCAATCAGCAGATTCTTCAACGACCTCATCGTGCTTGGAATGTCAAGATTGGCAGCGATTCATAACTGGTGAATTATCAAAACTACTTGAGCAAGTATCTTAGAGCATGCCCTACATCCGGGACCTGGAGTGGGTGGGAAACTGGGTGGGGTTTCTCCATCAAAATCCTCCTTTAAACATGAAGGAAACAATATGGAAATAATAGTCTTACCCACTTTCCTGTAGCTCTTGAACTTTTTACCCTAATTAACTATGTAAAGATTGTCAAAAATATAATAAAAAAGAAAAGAAAGGAAAAGCCCCTGTGCGTCATTTCTCCCTCCTACAAATCCCTTGAACTCCGAGTCTTTGTATTGGCTTTGCAACTTGGGCTTTGCTGACTGTCACAGAGTCACTTACTAACCTGCTTTACGGTGTTTCTTTCCTGCTCATTTCTTGTTACTGCGGAACACGTTCTATTGTCTGCCTATGCCACAGTTTATTCATTTCCCCCACTGGAGGGTATTGTAGTGGTTTTCCTGTGTTGGTAATTATCATTAATGCAGCTGTCAGTGTCTAGAAGCTGGTTTCTGCAAGACTCCTTTGCAACAGAATGTCTTTTTTTTTTTTTAAAGATCAATTTATTTTTATTGGAAAGGCAGATCCACATAAAGAGTGACAGAAAGAAAGATCTCCCATCTGCTGTTTCACTCTTCAAGCGACTGAAATGGCCAGAGTTGAGCTGATTTGAAGCCAGGAGCCAGGAGCTTCTTCCAAGTCTCCCATGCGGGTGCAGGGTCCCAAGGCTTTGGGCCATCCTCGACTGCTTTCCCAGGCCACAGCAGGGAGCTGGATGGGAAGTGGAGCAGCCAGGACAGGACTAGAACTGGTGCCCACATGGGATGCTGGTGGCTACAGGTAGAAGCTTTACTTGATACGGTATGGTGCTGCCCCGATATACACTACTTTTTAAGGAGTCATGTAGAAAAAAAATTCAGGAGTGCACTTACATTTAACTTCGTATATGCAGTCTCAAGAGAGTATTTAGAGGAACAAAATTAAGGTACTGGACAGACGCAAGTTGGAATCTCCGTCAGGCTATTATGCAAACGGAAATTACTGGGCACTAGTGCCAGGCGTACCAAGTGACACAGTTCCCGGTACATACTGTAGTAGTTAACAGATGCTAATAGTTCCAGTATTCTAGTCAGGCACTATTCACAAGCCAGCAAGTGGCATTTATGCGATTGTGCTATTCAAAGTATTTCTCAGAAGGAGAGGTGGAGGCGGCTGGCTTTTCTCCGCAAATGGTGAACACTTGGTTAGAGGCAGGATCACCGTGTAGCCTCCTGAGACCTCCTGTCGGCGCCTGCATCTATTTCCCACACCCAACTCTACCCCAAACCAGTTTCTACTTTTAGCCCTACCGCCACGATCTCATTATATACCGCTCGAAACTTAGCCCCGCCCAACTATGCGCACCCGATTGGCCTAGACGCTCGCGGGGTTGGTTCAATCTTTGAGATGCTTCCAGACGATTGGCTGGACAAAGCGGAACTCTTTTTCCACTTCTGATTGGTTATAGGTAAGCGTCGGGGCTGGGCTCATGGGCGGGTCTCGTCGGGGTGCGGTGAGCTTTCATTGGACGATGAACCCGGCACATCCAGAGCTTCATACTGTCGCCTAGGTCGCGGGGGGCGGGTCTTCGCGCGCCCAGGCCCATCTTGTCCTTTGCATTGGCCAGACATGTCGTCACTTATAAAACGTCAAGGTTATTGGCTCAAAAGTTCCAATAGGCGGTGAGTGATTGGCTGGTTGCCCTCCCCGCCCCCACGTGTGACGCCATTTTGCTGAGGGATGCCGAAATTCTAAAGGCAGCCGTTTCTAACGGTGTTAACCGTGGTCAGAGCGGCGGCCGGTGAGTCGCGGGCTGGAGGGAGAGGCAGCGGCTCCCGAGGCCTGGCTGCGGGGAGGATACCGGGGAGAGGCCGCCTGCGGAAAGGGGCTGGGCTCCGTCGTCCCTTGGCTCCCCTTTCCAGGGCCATCGCGGCGGATAACCGAAAGGGGCTTGGCGGGTTCCGCCCCCGGGCGCTCCTCACTCCCGAGTTCCCGGCGGCCTTGGCCGGGGACCGCCGCGGGTGACCTCCCTCCGAGCGCTCTTGCTCCCCTCGGCTGCAGCTGTCGTGTGTATGTGTGTGTGTCCGTCCGTCCGTTCGTCCGTCCTTGAGGTCTTACTGCCTGGCAGACGCCGGGTGCTTGTGGCCGGGAGGGTGCGCATGCGAAAGGCGCCCCGAAATCGGCAGCTTCTTACTGCGGGGCTGCCGGAGTGAATAGGCGAGGAAAGTGAAGCGAGGAGAAGCAGGCGCGCCGTGTGCGTTTGGCAGAGGATATCCCCAGACAGAGCTCGCTTTCTCCCCCCACAAGGTCCCTGTCGGTTTTCCTGATCTGGAAGATGGGTCTTTTGTTGGAAACAAAGGAAAGGACTCCCCAGTTCTGTCACCCGACAAGGTCGTGAATGCTGCGACGGTCCCGGACCTTGCACATCTTCTGTAAGGGGATCCACCATCCACCAATGCGTTGGTCCCCGGTGTGTGTGTGTGTGTGTGTGTGTGTGTGTGTGTGTGTGTGTGTGTGTGTGTGTGTGTGTGTGTGTGTGTGTGTGTGTGTGTGTGTGTGTGTGTGTGTGTGTGTGTGTGTGTGTGTGTGTGTGTGTGTGTGTGAAGCTGTGAGAGGTTGCTGAACCTCAGAGCTGGAGCCCCTGCCTTCGGCGACCTGCCCCTTCACGTGATAAAACTTTCTGGGTTGGTAGTTGAAAGCACTGTCTTTCTCTTTTTTGAACTTTGTATATAGACTTCTGAGAGCTTGGCTAGAGCTGTCTGGTTCTCACGGCTTTTAAATCTTCAGAATGTCAAGCCCGCACTTCACTGGACTGCAGAGATAAATTTGCAAAAAGATTTATTTATTTGAAAGGTGAAGTTACGGGGAGGCAGGGAGAGAAAGAGATCTTTCATCTGTTGGTTTACTCCCCACAGCCACCCTGACCAGGGCTGAACCAGGGCAAAACCAGGAATTTGGGGCTTTTCCCTGGTCTCCTAGGTGGGTACAGTGACCCAAGCTGTTGGGCCGTCTTCTGCTGCTGTCCCAGATACGCTAGCAAGGAGCTGCATCAGAAGTGATGCGGCCGGGATGTTGTTGATTTGATTTAGTTAAAAGAGAAGCAGAGACTGCTGGATGAATAGGGAGATTTTCCAAGCCCTGGTCATTGCCCGAATGCCTACAGCTGCCAGGACATGGCCAGTCTGGCCCTGGGAGCTCAGGGCTTAGGCTGGCTGGATGGCACAACCCAAGGACTTGAGGCATCAGCTGCTGCCTCCCAGGGTGTGTGTTGGCAGAAAACTGAAATTGGAAGTGTTGCGGGCACTTGGCCCCCCACACCCTGGTAGGGAGGCAGGTGTCACAAGTCTCCCATGCGGTTGAAGGGTCCCAAGGCTTTGGGCCATCCTCAACTGTTTTCCCAGGCCACAGGTGGGGAGCTGGATGGGAAGCAGGGTCACCTGGTTTAGAACTGGCAAACATATGGGATCCTGGCACGTTCAAGGTGAGGACTTTAGCTGCTAGGCTACCGTGCCCGGCCTGTCTAATACCTATTTTTTTTTAACATTTATGTATTTTTATTGAAAAAGCAGATGTACAGAGAGGAGGAAAGACAGAGAGGAAGATCTTCTATCCGATGACTCACTCCCCAAGTAGCCGCAATGGCCAGTGCTGCGCTGATCTAAATCCAGGAGCCAGGAACTTCTTTCCGGGTCTCCCATGCGGGTGCAGGGTCCCAAGGCTTTGGGCTGTCCTCGACTGCTTTCCCAGGCCACAAGCAGGGAGCTGGATGGGAAGTGGAGCTGCCGGGATTAGGACCGGCGCCCATATGGGATCCTGGCATGTTCAAGGCGAGGACCTTAACCATTATGCTATCCCACTGGGCCTCTGACACCTTTCTGAAGTGAGTTTTCTTCTATTTGGTTATTTATGTTTAAAAGACTTATTCTTATTGGAAAGGCAGATTTACAGAGAGGAGGTGAGAGACAGTGAGATCTTTCAGGTGCTGATTCACTTTCCAAATGGTTTCAATGGCCAGAGCTGAGCCAATCCAAAGCCAGGAGCCAGGAGCTTCCTCCGGGTGTCCCATGTGGGTGCAGGGTCCCGAGGTTTTGGGCCATCCTTTATTGCTTTTCCAGTCTATAAGCAGGGAGCTGGATGGGAAGTGGAGCACCCAAAGCACGAACAGGCATAGAAGGTGGCATAGATGTGCTTGCAGGGCCCTTGTATGCCCTTGTTACCCCGAGATGACTAAAACCTGCTGCTGCTGTTGCATCCCACTTGGGTTTCTGCTGTGGGAAGCTGAGTTTTCTGGCAAGGCATTGAGAGGCTAGGCTGAGGTTTGCGTGTAGAATCCAGGCGCATTGCTCCCTCCCGGCCAAACTGTGCCTGAAGTCTGTTTGTATTTGCAGGAGCTGTTGCTCAACCAGACGTGTGTTTGACGTGTTGGGTCTCTGTCTCTGCGAAGAGCGTTTATTTGCTTCTCTTCTCCTTCCGGTTGTAGACTTCAGTTACAATGGGGAATGTTTTTGAAAAGCTGTTTAAAAGTCTATTTGGGAAGAAGGAGATGCGGATTCTCATGGTGGGCTTGGATGCAGCTGGGAAGACCACCATCCTGTATAAGCTGAAGCTTGGAGAAATCGTGACGACCATCCCTACCATAGGTATGTGAGTCCCCCGTGGCCCTCCAGCTTGCAGCGTAGTGCCATAGACGTTCCCCTGGGGCTCGTGTCATTGAGGATTTCTTTCTGGAAAAAAAAAATTTCTAAAGATTTGTTTATCCAAAAGGCAGAGAGACACAGAGAGAGGGAGGGATTGAAGAAGAGATTTGTCTGCTGAGACAAAGAGATTTGTCCTGTATGTCTGGGGCTGGGCCAGGCTGAAATCAAGAACTAAGAACTCCCTCTGCGTCTCCCACGTGGGTGGCAGGGGCCCAAGTGCTTGAGCCATCATCTGCTGCTTTCCCAGATGCGTTAGCAGGAGCCTGGCTCCAAGTGCAGCCGCTGGGACTTGCTCTGATGTTGGATACAGGTATCGTAATGCAGGGCCCTGATTTTGCAAAGAAATGTTCATTACAGGGGCTCAGCCCTTATCTGTCATGCCAGCATCTCATATGATCACTTGTTTGAGTCCTGGCTGTACCACTTTTTTTTTTTTTAATTGGAAATTCAGACATACAAAGAGAAAGAGAGACGGAGAGGAAGATCGTCTGTACGTTGATTCACTCCCCAAGTAGCTCAATGGCCAGAGCTGAGCCAATCTGAAGCCAGGAGCCAGGAGCCTCCTCTGTGTCTCCCATGCAGGTGTGGGGTCCCAAGGCTTTGGGCCATCCTCGACTGCTTTTCCTGACCACAAGCAGGGAGCTGGATGGGAAGCTGCACTGCTGGGACATGAACAACATCCACATGGGATCCTAGTGCATGCAAGGCAAGGATTCCAGCTGCCAGGCCACCACGTCGGACACAGCTGTGCCACTTTCAATTAAGCTTCCTGCTTGTGGCCTGGAAAAAACAGCAGAGGACGGCCCAAACCCTTGGGATTCTGCACTCATATGGGAGACCTGGAAGAAGCTCCTGGCTCCTGCCTTTGGAGTAGCCCGTCTCTGTCCATTGTAGTCATTTAGATGGAAGATCTCTCTCTCTCTGCACTTCTTTCTCTGTAACCCTGCCTTTTGGACAAAAAAAAAAGTTTTAGCAAAAATGTTCCTTCAAATAGTATAAGCTTTTTGGGGTTAAAAAATATATAAAACCTGTTATATGTATTTTCTTAATTGTTTCCCAGCATTGATAGCTCATTCCTTGGCTTATAGGAGAGTCGTCTGAACACATTTAGGTTTAACAAATTTGTCTGTGTCTGCCTGGCAGAGAGATAATAATGATGACAACAGCGGGGGCAGCCGCGCCCTCTTCTCCACTTCTGTGCCCCCGCGGCCACCTGCTGGGAGCTGGGCATCCGCTGCCGCCCCCCCATGAGTCTCCGTTCCAGCTGGCCTTGCTCAGCGGAAGTCTCTCCCTGCCAGTGTGCAGATGGAGTGTGATTTCTTCCCTCAGCTGGCTCAGACCAGTTATCTGAGATGGTGTCCAACGGGCATCAGGCTCCTCAGGAATCTGCTCCGTGTTTTATGGGCACCTTCTGAGCTCTGCAGAGGCAGGCTTGACAGAACGTAGTCTCTGCCTTGGGCTCGGCCTCCAGCCCCTACCCCTGCGGGATGGCTGTGATAGCCCTCGTGAGTGGGTAAGCAGGCACTGGGCCCAGCTGATGGACTTGGCACCAGGGCAGGTGCTGAGAACTTTTGATGCTTGAAGAAGCAGAAAACCTGTGAGAGTTTTGGCACACACATTTGTAAAGTGGGTTAGTCCAGAAAATAGCATAGTCACTTTGCTTTCCATATTTATAAAATGATATATGCTTCTGTAATTTCATAACATTAAAAACAACAAAGAACAACAAAGAACTCCGAGCTGTAAAGAACACGCCCAGGATTGTGGCAGGTATCTGTAAAGCCATGTGTGTGCTGCTTTCCACTTGCGTGAGGCACTGTGTTTGGTCCGCCTTCTGTCATTTCCTCTCTGGGTTTTCCTGCCTTCTTCCTTAGTCCCTCCGCCCTTGATCTAGCCAACACCAGCCCAGGGCTTTGGCCTCGGTTGAAGCATTTCTCTTGGCCCCTTTTCCTGAGCATGCTTCCTCTGTTCTGTTTCTGTAGCAGCCCGAAGTTGTTAGTAACTGTCAGCCCATTTGTGATTTCTTGCTCCGGGTCTGTCCCCTTTCAACAGTGTAAGCAAGGACAGGGGTCATGTCTTATTCATGTCCCCAGCCCCTGGCAGAGTGCCTGGAGCTGGGTGTCCAGTAAGTTCTTGGGGAACAAAGTGAATATCCATCTTGTTGAAATCAGGATTACCCATGACTCATGCCCCTCAGCACTCATGGACAGAGGTGGTTTCCATCCACAAAGATGCTGAGAGTGGCCACGTGACTTGTTCTAGCCAATGGGGGATGCCAGCTAATGTGATTCCAGCAGAGGGCTGCTAAGCCATGTGTCAAGCCTGCATGGAAAACTGCAGCTGCCATTTGAGGAAGGGCAGTACTTTGAGGATGAAAGTTCTGGGGTAACCCCCAGTACCAGGCAGCTAGCGGGTGAAGCCCAGACTCCCACTGAAGACAGCAAAAATGATCTGGTGTTTGCTAAATGAAGCAGGGAGTGCCACAAAAGGTACTGACGCAGAGTAGCATCCAGTTTTAGTAACTGGCTAGTGTTCTGTGATATGGCTGTTTTTAATTATATCGCGCTGATGGCTGGTGAGGGGAGGTGCATGTATACACAGTGCCCAAATGTTTTTTTTTAGCCTGTTGTAGTAATTCCTAGAGGAAGGGTAGGTATATGAAACCAAATATGTGCTTAAAACATAACCACACTGCCAAACTGTTCTTTGAAAAGGTGACGCTACCAACAGTAACAAGATGGCTGTTTCTCCAGTCTGGGAGTTGCCGATCTGATCGAACAAGACAGACTTCTGTTAGGACTTCTGTGATTATAAGTAAATATATGCACATTCCCACTGATGCTTATCCTTGTTCTTCTATGACTTATTTTAGTGTCATTCACCTGTATTTCTTTTGGAAAGGATGGCGTGGATCAGGAGCCACATGTGTGGTGTTTCCCAGTGAGCCACCTGCCTTTTCACCTGTTTTTTTCTTTAATGTTTTGTGCTACAGGAGGTTAAAATCGCCACGCAGACACACTTACCAGTTCTTTAATTTTGTTGTCATAAACGTTTATCAGTGTTTTCTCCTGCTAATGTTATGGGTTCTTTACAACGTCATTTCTGAAGTGTGGAGTGCACTCTCCATTGAGAGTTGGACAGGTTGGCAGTTAGGAGTAAGGTAGGAGTAAGTTAGGAGTGTGCCGTGTCTTCCCCACAGGTGGACTAGTGCTGGCCTGTGGTGCTTTGCACGGTGATGGGCATCATGTGTGTCCGAGCTGCCCTGGGAGTTGCCAGTAGTGCCCAGTAGCTACTGAATATGTGAAGTGAAGGAATAAGGGACTGAACTTGTAATTGTTTCACTTTGATAACTGTCCAATGTCATTTAACTAAATGATTTTAAAAATAAATCTTTAAGAAAAGTGTCAAGTGAAACTCATTATGGCCACATGTATTTTTGAGAGGTAGAAGGAGAATACGCATGGGGAGGTGGTTTAGACTTTTTAGTAATGCTACAAATGATTGTCCTTTGGGTTAGGGGGACACATAGCTGTTGGGGGGGTGGGATTCAGCTGATATAATTTGGTGCGGTTTGGGAGTGAACAAGTAGGAAGGGTCTGGTTGTCCTTCCAGCTTCCAGTTTGTGGGATGGAGTCAGTGAGGGGCTAACGAGTAGAGGAGCAGGTTGAAAGGGTAGAGGTCTTACATTCGGTTTTTAGCAGATTGCCTTGGAGACATCTAGCTAATGATGCAGGAGCAGGAGGCTGGAGGCCAAGCAAGATGGCTTGGAGCACACAAACCCGAGGGTTGCTGGTATCACAAAGAAGGAGAAGCCCCAAGAGCGATTGCCCAGAGAGGGGTGGGGTGTGGGAAGAGTAGAGTGGGTGGGGCAGGATGGAGTAAGGAGATTAGGGTTAGGGTCATTTAGGGATCAGTTAAATTTGGTGAGCTCAGAGAGCACTGCTGTGGAGACAGGGAGACAAGGAAGCTAGGGGAAGTTTCAAGGAGGTGGTTGTGTTGGAGGGAGAGAGTGGTAGTGTCTAAGATCATCAGATTACCTGAGAACTGAAGGCAGGTGTGGGGTTGGTCGCCCAGCTGCCTTCATGGTGGAGAAGGGTCCCGTTCCTGGGATGTGGGTGGCAGAAAGGTCTCCATCAGTGCGGCTGAGCTTCCTGGAGACTTCGGACCCTGAAAGAGCAAGCAGAGGAGGTGACAGGCGGTCGCACAGGGTTGAGGAAGAGCTGTGCTTTTTCTTGTCCGTCTGTAAAAGATGGGAACAGAAGTGGGGTGTGGATAACAGATTGAAGACACTCTGAGAGGGGAGAGGGTGGGTTCTGGGCAGCCTGGGTAGATTGAATCCAGCAAGTAGCTGGTGGGAATTGGGAGTTCTGATTATCCTTCCCATTTGCAGAGGGAGGAAGAACGTGGGTGAGGGTATAAGGTGGTTTTGCACTGTGTGCCTGGGCACCACCTCTTCCTGTCCTGCCGCAAGGGGAGGGCACAGAGGGCTGAGACGCCTGCTGTACTGCATGGAGTGACAAAATGGCAGCTGTGTGAGCTGCAGATCCTTGACTGGCAAGCTGCTTTGTAATTAAAAATACACAAATGTTAGCTGGAATTAGTTTGAATTGTTAAGCCAGCAGAAATCATAATTGAGTTTGTTCCATCTTCCCAATTTAGGTTTCAATGTGGAGACAGTAGAATATAGAAATATCAGCTTCACTGTCTGGGATGTCGGTGGCCAGGATAAAATCAGACCTCTGTGGCGACATTACTTTCAGAATACCCAAGGTAAGGTTTGAAGCTTTCTGTGCTCAGTGTGTCTACAGACAGATGTTTGAAGCGAACCCTGTGGTTCCATGCATCATTTGAATCATCAGTCATCCATTTTCTGGACCTTATATTCCTAGAAAAAGTCCTTGGGCTCCAGTGCTGTGTGTCAGACATTTCTCTTCATCTAGTTTGGTTAGAAACGGTTATCCTGATGAATTTCATCTTTCAGCTAACCGAAAGTTCAGTGTGCTTTAGAGCGAGTTCTGGTGTCTGAAGAATTGAACTCAGGTAACTGCTGAACCTGTGGAGAGTGTCTGATTCATACCTCTGCAGGAAAAGCGATGAACAGGCGGGTCAGGCACCCAGGATCCTGGCCCCCAGCGTCCCTGGCCACAGGCCCTCAGCTGTGCCGCTGCAAGCACATGAAGAGGCACAGATGGCCAGACTGTCACCTGATTTCCTTATCATTGGCTTCTTACAAGTGGAGTTTTACTATGCTCCCCTGTCAACCTGTTGGAGGTTTTTCATTGGCCACATGTTAGATAAATGTCCCTTACTAAATATTATCCCTAAGAGAGAGCTGACTGTTGGCGTTGTTTATACACCCGGATGCTCTAGTAGGAGCTTAGTCACATGGCTCCATAATGACATGTTTGAGAATTTACTTGGAGTCTACCAGTTGTGAAGGTCCTCCTGCTGCACGTTTCTAGACACTGATCAGTCTTCCAGACCAAATGTTTCAAGGAGCATTCCTCCGTGTGTGTGTTTAAGGTTTGTTTATTTATTTGGAAAGTAGAGAGAGTGCTCTTCCATTTGTTGCTCTACATGGCCCCAGTTCACTGATCCAGCCAGCAGCCCTGGCTGCCACCCTGTTGTGTGCCACACAGTGACAAGGGTCAAGCTCGTGGACCTCTCTGCTGCCCTCCCAGTGCAGTTGTAAGTACTGGGTCCTGAAGTGGAGACACGAGCTGGAACTGGTGCTCCCATGTGGGATGCCCATGTCGCAAGTGGGCTCAGTATGCTGTGCCACAGCACTGCCACCCAAATGTATTCTTACTGCATTTTACAAATGTAAATTCACACTTTTCTGTGAATCTTCTTTTGAAGATTTATCTATTTGGAAGACAGTGAACACAGATTGAGTGATTGTCCGTCTGCTTGTTCACTCCCCTGGGTTTGGGCTGTACTCAAGCTAGGAGCCCAGAACTGGGTCTCCCCCATGGGGAGTAGAGTCTCAAGCACATGGCCCATGATTTGCTGCCTTCCCAGGCACATTAGCCGGGAGCTAAATCAGAAGCAGAGGGACCAGAGCTCCAACTCACAGATGGATGCAGGGGTATCAGGGAACATTTTAACCACTGTGCCAAACATTCTCCCCTACAATTAAAAAAGTTTTATAGTAAGATATGCATAACTTCACAATTCTAACCATTCTTAAATGTTGGCCATTGGGCTTCACCTGGCACCATTTGTGCCCCAGGCTGCCCAACCCATGCCCATCAGAATCTCCGTTCCCAGGTCTCATGGACCCAGCACCCACTAGGCAGGTGGCCCGAAGGACCCAGGCCAGGTGACCTGGGCCCCACTGGACCCCATGCCCCTGAGGATCATGGACCCAGCATCCTCCTCCCCCTATGTATTTAGAAGGAAAAAAATGGAATAGGCTAGGTGACTATGCTGGCACACTGGTGTTTTTTTTTTAAAGATTTATTTACTTATTGGAAAGTCAGATATACAGAGAGGAGGAGAGACACAGAGAGGAAGATCTTCCGTCCGATGATTCACTCCCCAAGTGACCACAACGGCTGGAGCTGTGCCAATCCAAAGTCAGGATCTAGGAACCTCCTCCGGATATCCCACACGGGTGCAGAGCCCCAAGGCTTTGGGCCGTCCTTGACTGCCTTCACAGGCCACAAGCAGGGAGCTAGATGGGAAATGGAGCTGCCAGGATTAGAATCAGCGCCCATATGGGATCCCAGCGCATTCAAGGCAAGGACTTTAGCCGCTAGGCCACGCCACTGGACCCCGCACTGGTATTTTTAACACAGATATGGTGTTAACCAGTTCTAGGATGCCTGCCAACTGTTAGCTGCTTTTCTCCCAGTAGTGTAACACTTGCCTAGTTACAATGCAACCTGGGCTGTTGCCCACAGCTGGGATCAGTCCGCTTTCTATTTGAATCTGCCTTTTTTGTTGTTGTTGTTTTTGTGGGTTTTTTTAAGATTTATTTATTTTTGTTAGGCAGATTTTTACAGAGAGGAGAGAAAGATCTTTCGTCTGCTGATTCACTCCCCAAGCAGCCAAAACAGCTAGAGGCAGGAGCGTCTTCTGGGTGCCTCATGAGTGTAGGTTCCCAAGCCCTTGGGCCATCCTCTACTGCCCTCCCAGATTACAAGCAGGGAGTGGCATGGGAAGTGGAGCAGCCAGGACATGAACAGGCACCCATATGGGATCCTGACGTGTGCAAAGCAAGAACTTTAGCAGCTAAGTGACTACACTGTGCCCTGAATTTGCCTGTTCTAGGTATTTCATCTGAGGGAACATTTGTCCTTTTGTGTCTGTTGTCTTTTCAGCCTGCTGTTCTCAAGGTCTCAGGCTTCCTTATATGGCTGGGTGACACCCCATTGTGTGGTGAGGCCACATTCGGTTCGCATCATCCACAATGGACACTTGGTCGTTTGCCCTAGTAATGCTGCTGCAAACGTCTGGGTACAAGAATCCTGTACGAGAGTTCTACTTTGTGGTTCTTTGGAGCATGTGGGCAGGAGTAGAATTGCTGGAGAAGCCTGTTTTTGCTTTAGTGTAATAAAATACACCTGAAATTCACCACCACAGCCGTGTGTCAGCTTGCAGCTTAGTGGGCCATGTGGCCATGGCTGCCATCCATTCCCAGAATGCTTCATCCTGTGAACCTGCAGGAACCCAGGAGACCCAGGAACACTCACTCCTCATCTCCCAACCCTGTCAAACTCCTGGCAGCCACTGGGCTCATCCCAATCTCAGTGATAGCAGCTGGATTCAGATGGGACCAGCCCAGTCTCCTCCAGATGGAGTTCCTATCAGCTTTTCATCCAGCGGTACAAGGTTGTCCCTGAGTGTGACTTCATCAGGACTTACCCACTGGTGGCCTTTCTGAACGTTGTTCCTTCTGCGTTTGTTTGCTGAAACCCTTCTCGACAAAGAATTCCCTCCTCAAATATTTGTTTTTCCTGAAATACAGTTTGTACAAAAAAGACAGAAGATCCTTCTTTATTCCTCTGTATTGATTTTCTCTGCTAGTGATTTCCCTGGTAATGCTTAAATTTTTCTGTCCTTGTATTTCTGTCCATCACAGAGGGTTGTTTTAATACCCACAGTGTCCATTGAGCCTGCATCACTTTCTATACCCTGCTGGCCCCCCTGTGGCAGACTGGAACATGGAACCTTTCTACATGCTGCCGTGGGTCCTGGGAGAGTTAGGCAGGCTCTTCCAGAGGGCATGATGGGTTCTGTCTGCACCGCCAGAATTAAATGAGATTCACTGGGTAAAATGGCTTATCTGGTGGCTGAAGGCAGTACGTAGGCAGTTAGCATCCCAGATTGTATGAGATGTTGCCTCCGCATCCTCTGGTGCGATTCTATTTTCTACTCTGTGGAGAGTTTTCACAGCCAAATGACAGGTTGAATTGCCTTTTTGTCTTAAGTCTTCAGTTGTCACGAGCCCGCGCCCGTGTTACTGCGTTTTGGTAGTTGTTGCCGTGGTGGCAGACGGCTGGCTGTGTTCTTGGGCTGCGGGCTGGATCAGCTGAACACTGGGAAATAGCAAATGGAGCTCTTGGAAGAAGGGATCTTCTGTTTGTGGCCGGACCACACGGCACGGACACGAGTAGCCTGGGTGCTGCTGCCATTTGTCTGCCAGTCCTTCAAAGGTCAGACTGTCTTTTTCCTCTTCAGTGGTTGAGTGTGACAGAACTGAAGGGATGCCTCTAGCTCTCAGTTAAGTGTGTCCATTTCCCTTGTATACATTGGAATCTCTATATGATTGCTTAATATATGACACAGAAGCATTTAACAATCTGTTAGTTTTCTTGCATAGACTTTTTTTCTCCTGACTGTCCGTAACCAGCTCTCATAGCTGACCCTCCCTTTCTTTTCTTTTTTTTTTTTTTTTAAGATGTATTTTATTTTTATTGGAAAGGCAGATATACAGAGAGGAGAGACAGAGAGGAAGATCCTCCGTCCGATGATTCACTCCCTAAGTGAGCGCAACAGCCAATGCTATGCTGATCCGAAGCCAGGAGTCTCTTCCAGGTCTCCCACGCGGGTGCAGGGTCCCAAAGCCTTGGGCCGTCCTCGACTGCTTTCCCGGGCCACAGGCAAGGAGCTAGATGGGAAGCAGGGCCGCTGGGATTAGAACCGGCGGCCATATGGGATCCCGGGCGTGCAAGGCAAGGACTTTAACCACTACGTCATTGCTCCGGGCCCAACCCTCCCTTCCTCCAATATTGTGTTTGGATGATGACATTCAGTATTTTAAAAACATTTTTACTTATGTGAAAGGCACAGAGAGAGCAAGATGAATTTTCCATCTACCAGTTCACTTCCTAAATACCTGCAATGACTGGGCCGGGCTGGGCTGAAGCCTGGAGCCAGAAGCTCCGTCTTGGTCTTCGTGTGCATCGGGGCCCAAGTACAAGGGCCCTCGGCAGCTGCTTCCCCAGGTGTGTGCCAGCAGGAAGTGCCGCAGGAGCTGACTGAATCCCAGGTGTTCCACGTGGGATGTGGTCATTTCCAGTGCTGACATAAACCTGCTTTGCCACAGTGCCCTTCCTGCTGTGTCCCTCGTCCATGGTCTTGTTGCTTAACCGAGAAATAAAAAGTCACAGGGAAGAGAGTGAGCAAGGGCAAGCGATTGGTGATCAGTGAGCAAAGCTTCCTGCATGGAGGAAGGGTCCCGGAGCAGGGGTCCATGGCCCCGGTGGGCTGGTGTCCTCTTAGCTATTTTCTTCTCTTGTCTGTGCCCCCAGCAAGGCTCGTGCTGGACCCTCCTCCACTGGTCCACCAAATGAGGCTCGTGCTGGCCTCCTTAGTGCACCCAAGGCGGCTTGTGCTGGGCCTTCCCCTGCTGTACCCAGTGAGGCTGGTACCGGACCCTCCCCTGGTGCCCCCAGCAAGGCTCGTGCTGGGCGCTCCCCTGGTACACCCAGTGAGGCTGTTGCTGGGGCATCCCCTGGTGCCCCCAGCAAGGCTCATGCTGGGCCCTCCTCCCCTGGTGCACCCATTGAGGCCCTAATGCACCGAGGCTTGTGCTGGGCCTTCCCCTGGTGCACCCAGCGAGACTCATGCTGCCTTTCCCCTCCCCTCACCCCGATGCACTCAGTGAGGTTTGCATTTGGAGTAGCTCCCCTGACTTTGTCTGCTAGTGCCTAAGGGGTCAGTAATTGGATTCCCCAGAGAGGTAGAATTTACCAGAATTCACCCCAGATCCACTCTTTCCTAATCCTGGCTCGGGCCCTCTTTCCCTACCTGTCCAGATAGTCTGTGCCTTGTGTGTATATGTAAACAGTTTTGCGTGCTCTTCATGTGTAAATATGCCTTTTCTAGCTTCTTTAGTTCAGGAGTGTGGCTGGTCCAGGGCTGGGTTCTTGGGCAACGATCCCCTATACGAACTTTAAAATGGAGCTGGTGACAAGGAAGTAATAGGTCAGTTTCCACCCTGCCCATTTTGCAGGGATCACTTTGGATTTCTGGGTCATCTGACTGGCTTACTCATGATCAAAGTCTAGAAGTGCTGACAGCATGTGATGTCTTTGGAGGAGTTTTGAATGCCTTATAGGTGTTCATTTCATGTGATTTAACAGACCTGACTTTGCCAGGGCAGGCTGTTGGGAGCAGGCAGGTCAGGCAGGTGTGGGTTTGGCCTGGACACATGGCAAAGGGGCAGAGGCCCTATGCCGGCTCTCTCACTGAGACTCACCCTGTTTCCTTGACAGAGAGGATCAGATCATCTCACCCACTTGGCATTTCCCTTTTGAGGTCTCTTCTGCAGTGTCCCCTAAATCATGGCTTAAGCAGGTCACGTGTGTCTCCAGTGACAGGCAGGCCTTGGAGGCAGTCGTTGGCGTCCTCTGCTCTACTGACTTTCTCTTGAGCATCCCTTATCGAGCTGTGTAACAGGTCCTGTTTCTTGCCAGGTCTGATTTTTGTGGTTGACAGCAACGACAGAGAGAGAGTCAATGAGGCCCGGGAGGAACTGACCAGGATGATGGCGGAAGACGAGCTCAGAGACGCTGCTCTGCTGGTATTTGTAAATAAGCAGGTACGTGGGGCTGGCTGTGGGCGCTCACCATCGAGGCTCGCTCTCAGAATGGCAGAACCTACATTAGGTTCTGCTTCTACTCTCCAGCCCTAGCCATAAACTCTCCTGCTGTCTCCTTCTCAGAGTGCACTGAGTCACTCTCAGTCATACCGACCGAGTATCTGCTGAGTTGAGGCTTGGTCCTGGTATGTTATATGACAACATTGAGCAAGCAAGACAGAATCCCTGTGTCCATGGGTCCATGGCATGTACCCGCTGATGGGCAGAGTCAGTCAATACATGGAAGTCAAGGTGCATCATAGCAGTGTGCTAGTGCCATGAAGGAAGCGGGTGGTGTGTGAGTGGGAGGGCTGGGGTGCCTTCCTGATGAGGTGACTTGTGCCAGACCTCCGGCCCCAAGGAAGGGAGGCTGGCAGTAGCCAGGCAAGCAGTGTTTGGTGCACAGGGGAGATGGGAGTGGGTCCTCAGGGTGGTGGTTAAGGAACAAGGGCCCCACGGGAGTGTGAAATGGTGCCAGAGTCGTGATTGGGAGGAGGAGCTTGCGTGGGACTGCGCCAGTGTAAGGTGTCCACTGTGGGAGTCAGTGTTTCCTTCCACTTTCTCCTCCACCCATGCGTTTGTCACCGTAGGTTGATCAGGTGCATTTTCTCCTGTCTTCTGGCTCTGTCAGTGTGATTTTAAATGGCCAACAGTCCAGCGTTCACTCCCACAGGGTACCTCCTGAGAGGTTCGGAGTCTGCCCAGAGCTCCACAGTAGGCATGACAGACTGTGAAAACAGGAAACTGATAAACCTGCTATCTTCAATTATAAAAACAATTTACTCATGGCCTAAAAAGGCAAAAGTTCAGAATATCAAGTGAAATATTCTAGTCCTTTCTTTGAAGTAAAACACAATTACATCTCTGTTTTTTAAAAGATTTATTTGTTTATTTGTTTGAGAGAGAGGAGAGACAAAGATCTGCCATCTGCTGCTTCACTCTCCAAATGTCCACCATGGCTGGAGCTGGGCAGGTCTGAATGTGGGAGAAAGGAGCTTCCTCTGGGTCTCCCACATGGATGCTGGGGCCCAAGCACTTGGGCCATCTGCTGCTTTCTCTGGCTCATTAGCAGGGTACTAGACTGGAAGTGGAGTAGCCGGGACTGGGATCAGCACCTGCCTGGGATGCTTCAGGCAGTGGCTGTACCCAATACTCCACAGCGCTGGCCCTGCTTATATTTCCTGTATCTGTTTGCAGAGATGCACCCTTGGGTGCCCTTGCAAGTCATTCTGTGATCGTGTCCACAATTCAGAGCCAGAGACTGCCCTGCACATTCGGCCTGCTGCCTGCCTTCTGACTTAGCAAATTTTTGATGCCTTTCCGGTCATCAGTAAACCCAAGTCACCCTTGTTTAGTGCCAATTTCTTCTGTGTTGGAGCTCACTGTGGGCCAGCCACGGTTCCAGGCACTTGGGATACATCAGAGATGGACAGAGACTCCTGTCCTGTCACACTTGCTTCCATTCATCTCAGTAGAGATAATGGATGTGTTAATTAAGCATTGTCTGGAAGCATGTGAGCAGTGCTGCCTGAAAACGCTGGAGCAAGCCAAGGTGGAAGAGCCCCAGGGCTGAGGGCTGGGCCTTACAGAGCACAGCCAGGGCTTAGGATGTCCACCAGGGCAGAGGCGGCATGGAACCCCTGCTGGTGTCCATGTGCGGAATAGGTCTGAGGGGAGCAAGTGCAGGAGGCAGACCCAGGTGGAGGCTGCTTCCGTATTCTGGCTGCGGAGCCATTGAGTGGTAGAGCCTCAGCCGTAAGTGATCCGAATGCCAGTGTTCCCCTGCTGGAGCCGCTGGCATTTCCTGGTAAGGTTGGCTGTGGAATTGAGAGGGAGAAGCAAGTTATGGGTGATCTTAAGAATTTGGGCACAAAAGATGGGAAAGCTGATATTGGCATCAGCTGATCAGGGGACACTGTGGCAGAGGGCACCTTTTGTGGTCAGGGCACGCGGCAGTTTACGGTAAGCCGTGATGATGGGACTTGCGAATGTTCTCTTTCCAGGATCTTCCCAATGCTATGAATCCAGCAGAGGTCACGGACAGGCTGGGCTTACATTCCCTCCGCCAGAGGAACTGGTACATCCAAGCCACTTGTGCCACCAGCGGTGATGGGCTCTATGAAGGCCTCGACTGGCTCTCCAACCAGCTCAAAAACCAGAAGTGATTGGAAGCAGCCCTTCCCTGTGCACTGTGGCAAACCAGCGGGCCTCTTCTGTGTGCGTGTGTGCGTGTGCGGAGCCCAGGGGGCCGTGTGTCTGGGAGTGGGGGCAGCTTTCTCACACTGTGCCTTACAACACACTTTAGGAAACCAGTATTCCATTTCCCGCAAACCATGCTGTTTTAAATGGTCTCTTCCATTTCCATAGCTGCAGTCCAGGGGGCTCCCTGAGGCACGACAGCCAGGACTGGGAAGAGAGCTGGGGCATGGTTTGGGTTCGTCCCCGCAGCCCTGGGCCTGGCATCTCTGTGTGCCTGAATCCTGTTGAACTTTGGCATCCTTTGGGAAAAGGCAGGCAGGAGTGGCTCTTCTTTTGCTGTGGTGGCAGTCCTGGTGGCTCCCTGTAGAGCGCTTGAGGGCAGAAAGCCCCCAGGGGGAGGTGTGAGAGGGTCTGTTGGGAATTTGTTCCTTCAGTTGCATTTCAGCCCAGACGTTCTGGTTTAGCAAGCTCGATTTATAGAAAGCATTGACTGTATGTAACACTAGAAAATTGTCCCATCTTCCCTCACTTGCCAGGTGGAGACCATTTGGTTCTCTCAGTGTGAGACTGAGGCTCTGCTTGGAGTCCCCTGGTCCCCTGCGGGGCCGGTGGGAGGATGCAGGAGGAGAAGTGCAGCTTCCATATCCATCCCACTGTGCCCATCTTAGGGTTCAGGCTGCTGAGACCCCTGTTCCTCCTGCTCTGTGACTCGCTCCTAGGGCAGGGGCGTCCCTGGGTACACTTCTCCGAGTCCAGCCTGCGCTGTTCACTCATTTTTCTTTCCAGAACCATACCCAGGAGTTCCGAGAGCTTGTGGGAGGATCTGTTTTGGAGCTAAAATCCCCCGCACCTCCTGGTTTTGCCCCCAAGTTGGTGCTAATCTCTCTCCTCTAGACCGCTCTGCCTGGGGACATTGAGTCGGGTGAGCTGTCTGGAAATGTTCTTTATACTGTCCTCTGGCCCTTCCTCCCACGTGATCGTGGGCCAGTGCTGAATCCCAGCACGCCACTACTTAACCTTTTAAAAGTCCTTTTTCAAAACATCTCAGTGCAAATGATAGGGGAGAGAATGTAAGATGAATGTTCACCGAAGTGCGTCCTGTTGACTGGGAACCATGAAGTTGGTGTTGGCAGAAGACCATGGTAGACGTTAGCATCCCGTTGTTTAGTGTGTTCAGCAGAGTGTTCATCATGGTGCCACAGCTGCGTCTGGAGCGGACTGAACGTGCATTGTTCTGAGAGCCGTCAGACGTCCCTGACATGCTTGGCCCCAGGGTGCCTGACACGGGATGAGGCCCACTGAACACATGTTGACTGGTTGGACAATAAAGAACTTGGTTTGAAAGGAAGGCAGACAGCCACGTGCTTCTGAATGTCCTGAACTCATTTCAAATCCCTGTCCACCTCCGCCTCCTTTCTGGCTGACTTTGTGTTGGGAATTCCCTGCCGGCCGCAGGGGTGCTGGGTCTGCCCCTGGGCTTCCCCTGGCGCTCCCAACACAGCTCTTTCTCACGCTGCATTCACTGTAGTGGTCCCTGAAAGCCACGTCTCTCCCTCTCTGCTGGCCTAGGGCTCCTTCAGCCTTTGTTGTCCCTCAGCCTCAGCCTGATCAACTGTGGGCTAGGGATCTCATGCCCGCCACCCGTGATTGTGGAGACTAACCAACTCATACCTTGACCACCTCCCTGGGCTATTCCGGTGTCCTGAGTGTGGACGGCAGTGCTGGCCTGGAGCCCTCCACTCTGCTCACAGATGTGGAACTGGAGGAGCCATAGTTAACCTCCAGCCCTGCTGGGTGCCCAACAGCAACAGGGCACTCACTGAAACATGTTGCCACATCTGCCCTGTGATTCTCTCTGTTTGGGGGCCCGAGATATGATTCATGATGTTCAGGGAATGTCGTCACTAATTACAGCCAAAATTGCCATCACCTGCTACAGACCACGCCACCTGGCTGGTCACAGAGGATGCCGTGTCAGACCACGCCACCTGGCTGGTCACAGAGGATGCCGTGGCAGACCACGCCTCCTGGCTGGTCACAGAGGATGCCGTGTCAGACCACGCCACCTGGCTGGTTACAGAGGATACCGTGTCAGACCACGCCACCTGGCTGGTCACAGAGGACGCTGTGGCAGACTGCGGGCATACCTCCGACTGTGCAGGCATGTGGGGCGAGCTTTCAGGGAGCTTCCCAGGGAAGCCGAGCAGGGGCAGGCCTCCTGCACAGGCTCTGGGCGGAAGTTGGCAAGAGTACATGGAACATCTCACCTGCCAGGAAGTTAGTTTTCCTTTTAAAGTTGATTTTTTTCCCCATCTTTTTTGGCAGCAGCTTTATTTTTTAAAACATTTATTTTTATTTTTATTGGAAACTCAGATATACAGAGAAGAGGAGAGACAGAGAGGAAGGTCTTCTGTCTGATGATTCACTCCCCAAGTGACCGCAACAGCTGGAGCTGCACTGATTTGAAGCCAGGAGCCGAAGCCTATTCTGGGTCTCCCACGCAGGTGCAGGGTCCCAAGGCTTTGGGCCGTCCTCTATTGCTTTCCCAGGCCACAATTGGAGCTGGATAGGAGGTGAAGCAGCCGGGGCATGAACAGGCACCCATATGGGATCCCGGCAGTTGCAAGGTGAGGGTTTGGCCACTAAGCCATTGTGCTGAGCCCCAGCAGCTTTATTTTTACAAGATAAATGTCTTGTATTTCCCCTGAAGGCCCCTTGTCTACCCAGATTCACTGCTCTCACTGCCATGGTTGGTTTTAGGACATTTTCCTCAATACAAAAGACACTGGGGCCCAGGGCAATAGCATAGTGGTTAAAGTCCTCGCCTTGCACGTGCCGGGATCCCATATGGTTGCCAGTTCTATATCCTGGCGGCCCTGCTTACCATCCAGCTCCCTGCTTGTGACATGGGAAAGCAGTCGAGGACGAGCCCATAGCCCTGGGACCCTGTATCTGCCAGGGAGACCCCGGAGAGCTCCAGGCGCCTGGCTCCGGATCAGTGCAGCACCGGTCGTTGCAGTCACTTGGGGAGTGAATCATTGGACAGAAGATCTTCCTCTTTGTCTCTCCTCTCTGTATCCCCCCTTTCCATTAAAAGTAAATAAATCTTTAAAAAAAAGAGAAACCCTGGCCCCTTACCAGTCCTTGCCTGCTGCCCACATACGCACTGCTTGTGCATCTGCTTTCTGTTTCATGGGGCATAAGAAGCACCACACTAACTTTTTCTCTAATTGAAAAATTCTTGGCATCCTCTTTTACTTTAATGCATGACATGTCATGACATGGGATGTCCTCTCGAGGATACTGGGTCCCACCACACTGGATGACTGGACAAGGCCACTTCCAGGGTGGCCAACTATTAGATCACTGTATAACTTGGCCAGGAGTTGCTTGCTGCTGTTGAGTACCACTAGGTGGTGCTGTAACTCTGTCCCCACTGGCACAGATCGGCCCTGGCTTGTGGATTGACACAGGGGTTCCCAAGTAGAGGAGGAATACATCTTGTCTGTGGTCGAGACTGCACATCAGGAGTGCCTCGGAAAGCAGGAAGGAGGAGGGCAAGATGGGCATCCAGACCGGAGGCTGAGCAACAAAGGTGGTGGCAGGAGTTGCAGTTACTATTGTTGAGCCTTTCTTTGGCTGATTTTATAGAATCTTCGCATCTGTCACCTCTGACCCTGACAGCCAGCAAGGCATTGTATCTGCTGGCTGCATTACAACAGGGGAGAAACCAAGGCTGAAGAAGGGAAAGTGGCTCACTGGCGGCCCCTTGGCTGTGGTTGAGCTGCAAGCCTGTGCCATTCTCAGCACACACCGCTGTAGACTGAGCCGCGGGCCTCAGGGAAGTGCCCAGGGGAGACTGCTGGGGAGGGCCCTGGGCAGCCCATGGCAGGATGGTGTCAGCTGAGGGTGGGTGGCAGGGGGTGGGGAGGAAGCCATGGCACAGGGCTGGCCAGGAGGCTAGTGGAGACACCTGACAACGAGTTCTGCATCGCTCCTTGATGCTGGACTGAGCCCTGGGGAGTGAATGCCAGAACCACAAACATCCTAAAACTGTATCACGTTGGTGATAGAAGAACCGTTTGGGAAGCATCATCCAATTAGAATGGATGAATACCGTAGTATGTAAATGAGACCTTAGTAAAGCTGTTTGAAATCTGTGTTCGGGAAGCTAGTAGTGCCGAGGGTGCCAGGTAGGTAGGTGTCCCAGAGCCTGGCCATGCCCGCTTAGGCTCTGCATCCAAGGGCAGCGGGGGGCTTCTTTCTGCCAAGGGCCGTCAGGGTGTTTAGAACATCCTCTGCAACCAAACAAAATGATCAGTTTAAACATGAGCCTGCTCTAGGCTTAATTCGATTTTGAGGCTTGCTCGTGGTTGCCTTGGCAGGGCCAGGCCAGATGACATCCGCCCCCAGCCTGTTAGATACGCTGGGCGCCTTGTGAAACAGCCCCCTGCAGGGTGGGTAGCTCTTATCCCTGAAATATTGGCACCTATCACTTGTTCTGTGAAACAGCTCTTCTTTTGGGAGCTTGAGGACACTCATTCTTTCCCAAGTAATTTGTATTTCAGACAAAAATAAATCCCCCTTCTTTCTCTCTGTATCATTCCAATTTTAGTATATGTGCTGTGAAGTGAGCACCCCGTGTTTCTCTCAGGATGAGATTCCAGGCTCTCCTCAACTCCAGTTGGATCTGTCAGCCTCATGCTGGAAATGCAGTAGCTGGCTGAGCTGGGGCTAGCAATTCACACCCAAGAATTAAGACTCTCTGGGGCCAGATCCCTGGTGTACCCCAAGACCAGCTGCGTGTCATGGTTGAGATTTTTTTCTTTAATTAGGAAGACAGATTTACAGAAAGATCTTTTGGTCTACTCCAGGTGGTTGCAACAGCTGGAGCTGAGCTGATCCAAAGCCAGGAGCTTCTTCCGGGTCTCCCATGTGGGTACAGGGTCCCAAGGCTCTGGGCTATCCTCTGCTGCTTTCCCAGGCCATAATCAGGGATCTGGAAGGGAAGTGGAGCAATTGGGACATGAACCGGTACCTATATGGGATCCCGGT